CGAAATTGCTTAGTATCCACGAAGGATCGTGTTGTCAAAATCGGCAATTTTGGACTAGCTAGGGATGTTTATAAGGATGACTATACCGCAAGATAAATACAATTATTAGAAAAAAATATATGAAATTAAACAAATCTTAGAAAGTGTATCTCTTTTTATAGTAGCGACGACTACACAGAAGAAGATGAGTCACAAGTGTAATGCAGCAAATAGAGAATAATGGTCATTTCATTTTAATCAATTATTCAGATTGATGATTTATGATGGTCACCAATCACAAATATGCAAGAGTTAAGTGTCGCTCGATTCAAACCGCACGATACAAATATTTCAGTCCGTCAAGAACGACGTGTACGAATAGTGGGCCTTCAAGAGAGCACGCATAGTATATATATAATATATAAAAAATAATTGTCACAGTTGCAGTTTTTAATCAAACAAAAGATATAGAAAATATATATGATCTGGTAAAACTTGTCGCATGAATAGTGACAAAAGTAAAGATTTATAATTTAGTAATTTCCTGGTGTCTTTTCTACTAAATTATATTAAGAGGAACTACAGAGGAAAACTGACAACATTTATATTATTGTTCGATACAACCGAATATATACGTGTCAATTCATAGCGTCGTCATTGACTTTCATGGAAAAAGTGAGCATTCATTAAACAAAAGTTTTATAATTTGATGTAAGATGCATTGTGATTGGTTATGAAGAGAAATTTTGAAAAATAGTAATAGAGAAGAGATCTTATGATTAATGTGCTAAATAAATTTAAAAAATTATACATAAGAAAACATCGATTCGATTAGCACATTTGCATTATCCATAATATCGATAGAATCACTATTCATAGCTGAACCCCTACAATATAATTAAGTAGCAATAAAATCGGTGGGGTGTAATTTTTTATGCATATTTAGCAATTGTGCTAAGTTGTGCTAACAATGTCCTAAAATATTACTTTAAAAAATAGTACAGAAAAGTTATAAAAGAGTTGTGTGTATGTGTGTGCGTGTGTATATGTGCGTGCGTGCGTGCGTGTGTGCGAGGTGTGTGATAAAAAATAATTTTGGACAATACTACATGCAACTAACATTTACGTTCGTATCAATTATCCAAATGGCATATAGTTGCATATCTCAGTTGTGCTAGTCTAGCAAAAGTCAGCACACAATTGTCGATTTCCTCAGCACAGCAGTATTAAGGGCACTTTATTCTTGAGCACGGTCCTTTGCTCTCGGATTCTCTGTCCATAATTCGACTTTGTAATTAATTTTGTAATGTTAATTGCATAATATTGTCCAAAATTATTTTTTAACGCGCGCGTATCTCTTCTTTCTCTTCTATTTTTTTAAAGTAATATTTTAGCACATTGTTAGCACAATATAGCACAATTGAAAAAATTGAAAAAAAATTATACATAAGAAAACATCGATTCGATTAGCACATTTGCATTATCCATAATATCGATAGAATCACTATTCATAGCTGAATTGCTAAGCATTGGGCGGAAACTGATTGAGCGCAAATATCCATAAGAAAAAAAAATTATTATGTCGAAAATGATATTATGTGTTTTACTGAAAGTGTTAATATTAGCGAGAGCGGATATCTTGTCAAAATATCCAGATTCAGACTTCATACAGGTAAGAGATTGCTTTGTTGAATAAAATTAGATGTTATTATAGCTAATAGTTTATTTGGGTAACTAAAACTGTATATAATAATAAAATATATGTACTGTATAATAATAAAATAAAACTATATAACATAAAATAGCAGAAATACTAGAAATACTAGAAATACTAGAATACTAGAAAAGTATGTGTGATGTTACGAAAAAAAGAAAGTGTATAAATCTTGGAAATTTTTTTTATAAATGGATGCTTCATAGTACAAAATTAAGCTTAATTAAGATAGTGTATTGAAATTTGATTTTATTATCTTTGTATTTTCTCTTTGCTTTTTTTAAAAATAAGTATTTTTAGCAACAATAAGAGATTTTCTGTTCATTCTCCGCTATATTAATATATACATAAAATGACACCTGATCTAATTTTTATATGATTTTTCTTCAATTCCTAAGATCTCTTAATTTTTTTAAATATTTATAATCATATTTATTAAATAAGATTTGTACTAAATTAGTTTTTATTTAACAAAATTAATTTAGAAAGTTAGCATTTCTCATTTTGTAAGAATAATTTTTCGATATTTAGTAGCTCTGTTCTGTTATACAGGATGTCCTAAAATTACCGGACTTTCTCTTAATGGCAGATTCCTTAGAACATTTTAAAACGAAAATCCTAATACAAAAATGTCGAGGCTGTAATAGTTCTTAAACGGGAAGCGATTATATTTTACGAATGACAGAGCTGAGATTTCGCGCGCTCAGGCACGGCGAAATAACAAGTGAAAAAAGTGCTTTATGAATGAAATGCCCTTTTTCTCATTTGTTATTTCGTCGTATCTGAACGCGCGAAATTTTAGCCCTATCATCCGTAAAATATAATCGCTTCCCGTTTAAAAACTATTGTAGCCTTGACATTTTTGTATTAGGATTTTTGTCTTGAAATGTTCTAAGGAATCTGCCATTAAGAGAAAGTCCGGTAATTTTAGGACATCCTGTATAACAGAACAGAGCTACTAAATATCGAAACAGAAAGTCCAGTGTCGGTATAATAAAATTTCGAGTTGTATCATTTAACCGTAACAATAAATCCAATAGTTATAGAAATCAACAATATACGCAACCAGCCAATTTTTTGCTATGCCTTCGATTTTATATATAATTTTAATTGTGCATATATAACTATAATAATCCATTATATAGCTATATGCATACGATCTTACCCAGATAATGTAAATTATAACATCGTGTTCTCCAGAATTTGTTTGCGTTAAAAAAAGTAATGATAACCGAAAAGAAATTTGACAAAAGTTTAAGTACAAGAATTTATATAAATTCTATATGGCCATTAAAAGACAATTTTTATAACATTTACATTCTTGAAGTATAAACGTTATTGAAAAACTTTAATGGTAACAAATAAATTTTTGAAGCGGAAAGTCGTGCTAAAATAAAGTCACTTATTTAAAGAAGTTAACTAATTCAACGTAAAAAAACTAAATTGTTAAACAAAATTGTTTCAATAATTAGGAAGAACTACACTTTTATGTATTATTTATTAAGAAAAACGGTTATGAATTCTTATTAACCCTCATTAATCTATTCTGCATGACTTTAGGCTATCACACACAAATTGACATAGCTGCATATGCATAGCAGACCATCTGGATCAACGAGCATTGAACATTAAGCCACCATATTGATTTACATAACATGCTCATCGGTCCAGACAATTTTATTGACGTCTACTTGACGCAGCTATATCAATTTGTGTACGATAGCCCTTTCTCTTAGATATAAGAATCATGTATTTGATATGCAAGAAGATATCTTGAAAAAACAATAAAAACAGATTTTTTTTTAAATATAACTACACTATATTTAACACATTACTTATCAGAAGAGATATAAAGAAAAATATCAAGCCGATATGATTATACAAACAAGACATTTTATGGCGATATTACTAATTTGTACATGTATTATTTATCATTAAAAGTACCGAAAGTAACCGCGTTTTTTACCCAACTTACTTACTACTTTTCTTTTCGTATGTTATATTTTATAAAGGATATTCTAGTATCCGAGAACAACGATTATCACATTTTACAAAATCTCAAATCTAATCGGAGTTATCCTGATACCCTGAGCATGAGAAACAAAATTGATGAGATTTCATTAGCAAATATATCTGTGATTCCAGAATTTGTTGGTAAGTAAAGTAAAGTTGTAAAGAAATGCATAAATCATTCCAAAAAAGTCTACGACAAAGAAAATTGTAAATATAATTTACATTTAAGACAGAGAGTAAAAATAAAATCTAAAAAATATATATTTCAATAGCGAGAAAAATATAGATCTCATTTTGCCGCAAAAAGAGAAAGAAAAATCCATATATTCTATGTAAAATTTATCAAAATTTAATATAAAGCAGTTGATTATATTATTTAATTTTCCTAGACTATTTTTTTTTTTTTAACGATCGCAAGTATTGTACTTCTGATTTCTTAATCAATAAAAAATTTCCAAAAAACTCTTAATGCTTTATTATTTGTTTTTGCTCTGAATTAACAATTATTTTTTTGAGTTTTAAAACATGCAAATTTTTTTATATTATTTTATTATTTTATAAGTCAACATTTGCTGTGCTAATTTCCACATTTTGTAATTTACATTTACTTTTTTCTTGTTTTTATTTTTACTTTAAATCGTTTTTTCCTGAATTACTGAGATAATCAACATAATGTTCTTGTAATATAATTATGCCAATAAGTGATTGTAAAATTTCTAGATAGCATTTTGAGCAAACCAAGATCTCCTAGAGCATTTGTCGAATTTTACAATGAATTCCTAAATGAGAAAGACGACATTTCTGTGATATTCAGGTAAAAAGTTTAAATTTTTCGTATTCTTTTAAACTTAACAAAACATACATATAAAAACGTTGATTCTGTTATAATCTTACTAAATATCAAAAGGCTAAAATCTTATTTTTTTTATAGATGGAACCAACCTGAATTTACAGACGAAGTAATACAAGGATACACAGTGCAGTGTTGGTTTATCAAAAATCAAAAAGAGATTCAAATTTGCAACAGTGCAGTGTTGGTTTATCAAAAATCAAAAAGAGATTCAAATTTGCGACAACAAAAGTATTTCAGCAACAACATTGGAATGCACAATGCACAATCTAAAACCTAACACAACGTACTACTTTCAAGTACAAGCGCATACTAAAGTTGGTGCTGGCCCTTACACCGATTTAATTGATGTATCGACTACGCATGAAAATCCAATACCGCAATTATTGATTATAACAAAATATGGTATCGATATATGGGATCTGGATTCAAACACCAGCGTTAATCTCCTTAAGGATATGGAAGTGGCATGTGCCACTTATTCAATAGCGGAACATAAAATTTATTGGAGCAACATTATGAAAGAGTTAATGATATTGGAAATGAATGGAAACAATATTACAAAAATAGCTAATCTTCGAAGTATTCCGCACAATCTCTGCATCGACTGGATAGCAAGAAATCTGTACTGGGTAGAATTAGACGATCATTTGTATATCAGTGACATATTCAAGCTCGACTTAACAATGTGGGAAAGTGGCATAATCAAATATGATAAGATTTTTAAAATGGAATCGTCTTTCTATATTTACAGATTAACTATAGTACCGTCTATAGGGTATGTTAACATTCATCCATTTGAAATAAATGAACAATATCTTCATTAAACCTATTTGTAATTTTTCGATAATTTTGTATGGCTTTGTAATTAAGATCGTAAGCTATAAAAAGATAATAAATTAACACAAATTAATTATAAGAATTTTAAATATTTACTATATATAAATGTTTTTTTTGCTATTATTATAATGTTCTATAATAAGTAAAATAATGCATATATATTTTAGAACTTTATATTGGACAAATGAGACTTTGGACACTAATCCTCAGTTAATGCAATTGGAACTTGATAGAAATAACACTGAAATCATTCGGAATAATTTATATGTTATGTGCCCCTTCAAACTCGATGAGTCAGATTTTGTTGAAATGAAAATTGACGACATGAATACTAAGAAGCCGTTAATTTACTGGCTAATGACTGATTTCTTGATTGTGACAGACATTAACGTTTCTACGTGCAATTTGATTTTAACCAAAATCATTGCCAGATCTATATTTATATCTTTAACAATTGACAAGACAAACATTTACATTTCTACAATTCGAAAAGACTACGTATATGTTTTGAAAAAAAGATATGCACTTCTCGAAAGCGTAGACGCATTCGAATACATCCAAAAAATAAGAGCGCCTTCCCGGTTTACTAAATTCTATGCTTTCGGTAAATCTTTGCAATCGTATCCTCCGACGAGATGTCTGACGCCCGACAAAAAAGTTTACAATGTAGAAGAAGCGATGGTAACGACGAACAGAATCATCGTAAATCTTCCGGAGCCGGTCCCCAAGAGTGGATGCAAAAAGTACAACTTACCTACCACTCTATATACTATCAACATAAGCCATTGTTTGGATAATAAGTTTAACAAGTTTGATAATTTCACCGTGCAGATGTACGAGCAATATTACGAAATTCAGAATGTAACGCCGCTTACAGAGTATAAGTTACTGCTAGCTATAAGCAATTTTTACTCTGTTCAGTTATCAATGAAACCGTTATTAAGCTCGGAAATAATATTAAGAACGAAACCGAGCAAGTTCGACGCATCGGAAAATGTGACAGTTCAGGCTTTGACGCCTACTATAGCGGTAGTTTATTGGATGCCACCCAAAAAACTGAAGATCGGGCATTGCGTGCCCGTGATCTACGAAGTATATTGGACGTTAATTACTTTGTTAAACGATACGCAACAAATACACGAGTTCTTACTTATCAATAAAACCGAGTATAAGATAGACGATAAATTTTTCACAATACTCGAACCGTTGATACCAGGACAGAAATACAGAGTATATGTACGCATGTATCCAGCCAACTTTAACGATTATTATAATGACAGTTCGATCAAAACTTTGTACATGTATTCGGAACCAAACAATATAACTTTAAGCGAGGTTAGCATAAATGGTATGAATATTTCGTGGATTCCTAACGTTAATTTGACAATTTATTACATATTGAAATTCAAAAATATTGAGATGCAGAAGTGGCAAACTGCAAACAACTTTGAGTCGAATAATGGAGGGAAAATAATGTACTATATAAAAAACTTACTACCAGGCACTCTATACGAGTTTCGTTTGATACTGAGATACCCCAAATACGAGAAAGACTTTATATGGCCATCTGATGGAAGATTTACTTTTTCAACTATGACAAGTAAGCAAATGAAAATATTATAATATTATATATTTATTTGAGATATGGAAATGCTAACAAAATTTAAAAACTTAGTAATTTTTAATAATAAAGTTATAAATAGAAGTAAGTTTTGAAATAAAATGCAGATATTAAGTGTATATTTTTGCATAACAAAGGTGATATTTCGAGCATTCCTGGAATATTAGTTATACAATATTACCTACCAGTCATCTTAAGCTTTGTCGCTATAGTTACTGTAATCTGCGTCTGCTACTTTTACTATTGTAAGTATATATGATACACATATAAGTCTTTAATTGCAGAAAAAGATTATATCTAATGTAGCATATTGAGGTTTTCTAAAAAAAGTTAATTTATTTTTTAAAATTGCGATGTGTGTGTAAATTTTGCAATGCATATTATTAAATAAGTATATTGTAATTTTATAACAGGGTATCGACAACGCAATGAAAGAAACAAGCAAGTTTTGCCTCCGATGATGACTGACATCGAATTAGCAATTCTGCAAGAGATACCTAACGGTAACGTTCAAATCAATACACTATACAGGCCTATGATGCAATATAATTCGGATGAATATGTTCTGACCAAAATCAAACGTGAGGAAATCAGATTAGGAAAACTTTTAGGCAGCGGCGCATTCGGAATGGTAAAAACTAATTTTTTCGATACAATGTTATACGCTATTAATTTCTAGATCAACAGAAATTGAAACAGATACGCATTTATCAATAAAAATAAGTACATGAATAACGTTTTATAAAAAATTATAAGTAATACAAAATTTTTGTGAGACAATATACACATGCATTCTATTATGTATTTTTCGTTAAATTCTTTAATATAAAATAAAATATAATGTCACTTGATATTAAACTACATAACTTTTAATGTCATATAGTATATTTAAACTAATTTCAAATATTTCGCAGGTGTTTCAAGGAAAAGTAAAGAATTTAGAAGGATCGAACATAGAAATGCCCGTTGCCATAAAAATGCTTCGAAAAAATGCTTCCTCGCAAGAGAAAAAGAAATTTTTAGAAGAGGCCAGACTTATGAATCACTTCCGACATAAACATGTGCTAAGATTGCTGGCCGTTTGCTTAGACGAAGATGCTCCATTAATCGTGTTGGAATTAATGGAAATTGGTGATCTGCTACAATATTTGAGAGATAGTCGAAAATTACAACCGTCAGATTTGCACGCTCTGCGTCTGCAAGATTTGTTTGCTATGTGCGAAGATGTTGCGCGAGGTTGTTGCTACCTAGAAGATCTGCGTTTCGTTCATAGAGATCTCGCGTGTCGAAATTGCTTAGTATCCGCGAGAGATCGCGAGAACCGTGTCATTAAAATTGGCGATTTTGGACTAGCTAGAGATGTTTACAAGGATGACTATTATTGCGTGGTAAATACAATTATTTAATAAAATTAAAATTTTTAGAGATGTTTTGTCGTAATAATATTGCACATTTCTACTTTGAATATAATTTAGAAAAAAAGAAAAATATTTTATTTCTATTTATATATAAAGTAAGAGATAAGTGAACGTTTTTCGTTTTAGCACGAATACTTTAAAAATGGACAAATTAAAAACAAAAATATATATAATGGCTCAATAGATTAAAATCAAATTAAATTAATTAATAAAAAACTGTTTGCGCTCCAACTACCGCGCCTGGCTCTGATTGCCATTTCCAATTAATTTAATTGGACAAATTAAATCAGAAGATTAACTCTGTTAAATTTGCATGTTTCAGAAAGGACAAGGTCTGCTTCCTATTTGCTGGATGGCACCGGAATCTTTGGCCATCGGAATATTTACTTCCCAGAGCGACGTTTTGTCATTCGGGGTTCTAATGTGGGAAATTACATCGTTTGGTGAGCATCCCTACACTGGTAGAACTAATCTGGAAGTGATAGATTATGTACGCACTGGAGGCAGGTTGCCAATGCCTCTGAATTGTCCACCGACTTTATACGAATTGATGCTGCATTGCTGGAGTCCAAAAAATAATAGACCGAACTTCAAAATTTGTCTCGAGAATATTATAGGTCTAAGAAATAACATAGAAGATACCTTACTAAGTCCAGTGGATATTATCTAGCCGGTAATATTAAATTAATTAATGATTTTATTTTCCAAAGGATACAATGAGAAGTTCAACATAGGACAAATAATTTTAAATATCTAATATTCTGCCGTTTTTAAGTTTAATTTTAATTTGTTAGATTTATTGATAGAAAAAAGAAAAACCTTATTTAATCACACTTTGCAAAAAATTTTGATGACTAAAAAACACAATATTTGTTCTTACAACTGTAAACAACGTGACGCTGACGCTAGTATTTTCGAGTAATCAAAACGAAACATAATTCTGATTACTATAATTATCTATAAATTGCTACAGTAATTTTAGAAATAATGTCTTCTTTATATTATATTAGCACTCTGTTTTATATTCCTATATTTTATCTTACTTAAATGCTTAAATAAAATACACAGTCATATTATGTTAGTATATATAACATTTTTTAATATTAATAGTAGTATAGGGGCCACTATGGCCGGTCAAAACAATAATGTCACTGGCGCCAGAGGCATGATCTACTGAAAGAGGGAGAGTAAGGGGAAGCGCTTTGATTGGTTTGCCCCATAGTGACCGACATATTGATTGGCTGAAAAGAAAGGGTTTTACAGAAGTGGGAAAAACAAGGCAAAATAACACGTTGGCAAGAGCCGCCGATATGACCGACGGGGAATGAAACGTGACGACAACCGACAAAATGGCGACTGTCGAGGATGGAGATGTCGTATGGTATATGATACCCATCTTCCTCCGCTTTTTCTACTAAAAAAAGAAAAATCAAATAATATACAGATGGAATAAATTTGACATGAGAGTAATGAACGCGTGCGTACGGGTACGACTGACCGAGCGGTCACGGCTGTGCCTGTAGAAAGTGACGTCATCGCTGGTGACAATAAGAAGGGGTCATAAAAAACACGCGTGTACGGTGATGATTGCGGAGGCTTAGCTATGTCGCTGTAGAAAGGAGAGAGGACAGGAAAAAAGAAAATATTTTCACATAACTGATCTAAGATAAAAAACAGTAGTAAATTTTCACATTAGGTCAATCCCTTTAAAAGTCGATAACATTGACATATGTTGTTAAGATCTTGACCCTGAGTAACATCCAAGAAGTTTTAGCCGTCGTTCGTTGCTTGTTGAAAAATTATCAACAATCAATTTGTACTATAAGAACAAAAATATTAAATGGTAAGATCCAGTTTATGCAGGTGATAATTAAGAGTGTCGTGCTCTGTAAGTATGCAGATCACTAGCCCAGCCTCTCGTTTGCTTAAAGCTTTGATACAGGCGGCGAAGTCCTTCTTTGGAGAATCTCTAAGGAGAGCCCTCAACTGCCTGCACCCGATTACGCTTCTCCAAAAGCCAAATGTTGATCTCGCAGCCAACGACCGATGTCCCCCCTGTCCAAGCAGCAGGGGATATCGACCGCCGGCTCTGGTCCCACCAAATCAGCCTCTTAACCAGCCTTGGCAAGTTGGTCGGCCGCCTCGTTGCCCCTGATGTTAGAGCACCCACACCAGAGCAATCTCGTTATCTATCGCAAGCTTTTCTAGGGTACATCTGCAGTTCCAGATCAATTTGGAGGAAAAAGTCGGGGCGCCAAGAACTCTAAGAGCCGCTTGGCTGTCTGAACAAATGCTAATGCGACTGTCCCTCTCTTTATTGGCGAAAAGACTTTGTGCGCAATATAAAATCGCCACTATCTCTGCCTAGAAGACCGTGATAAATTTTTCGAGTAGGATAGACTCATTAATCTCTTTCTCTTGACAATAGACGCCTGCTCCAGAGCTCGAGCCAATTCTGGAACCATCCGTAAAGAGAATGACCCCATTTTTCAGCACCAGACCTTGCGGGCTAAGCCAGTCTTCCCGCTCCAGAAAGCAACCTTGAAAAGCGCCTTCAGGACACGAATGGCTGGCATTCTGTCCTGCACCATACTAAAGATAGAATGGGAAAGGACACCGTCGGGAAGCTTGGTGTGCCGGGTACAGGCTCCTCATTTTCCCTCAATCACATCTCAATCGGTAAGCCGCCGATGGAGCTGTGGTGACAATCGTCTGGTAAAGCGGCTCGATGCCGAGCAGCATCCCATCGCCGCAATTGACGTGGTCCTCATGGCATCAAGGGCCTCTCTTAAGATGAGAGCCCTCAGGTGCTCCAGTGTTATTTTCGCCGACACCAACTGTACTCTAGGCCACCATACTACTGCAGCATATAGCAGCTTAGATCTAAGAATGGCAGAATAGATTCAATAGAACATCCCCGGCCTACAGCCCCAGGTCTGGCCAAAGGATCTTCTGCACAGCCAAAAGTAAAAGATTACGCTCTTACATCGATCTTTCAAATGCTCCTTCCACGTCAGCTTCCTATCTAGGATAACTCCAAGATATTTCACTGACCTAGCTGGTGTCAGCCTGATGCCTCCCAAGGTGGGTCCTACCACAGTGCCCAGCTTGTACCTGCGAGTAAATATGATCAGCTTCGTCTTCCGGGAATTAACCGAGAGACCAGTGCTGTCACACCACTCCTCTCTTACTTCAAGGGCACACTGCGTGAACTCCAACTGCGTGAAGTCCAGAAAGGACATGTTCCTTGCACAATGATCGCCAGATCGTCCGCATACCCTTGCGCGAAGAAGATCCTGTCATTAAGTTTCCTAAGTAGTCCGTCGACTACTAGGTACCACAGAAGTAGAGAGAGCACCCCGCCATGTGAGCACCCTCAATTCATCCAGCCACCAACATTAGCAGTGCCAAGCGTCGTTACAACTTACCGTCGGAGCATACCCCTGATTCAATGAACAGCCTGTCTGGGACACTCTGCAGCATTGCTTTTCTGCAAACAACCTCATGAAAGGTGTTGTTAAAGGCGCCCTCTATATCTAGAAATGTCCTCATCACATAGCCTCCCTCCATGAAATCTCTCTTAATTTGGGATACTAGAGAGTGGAGCGTCGTTTCCGTAGAGAAACCCATCCTATAAGCGTATTAGTTCTTGTGCAGCGGATGCCGCCCAGGAACAACATTTCTTAAATAAACCTCGACCAGCTTTTCCAACGTTTTCAGAAGGAAAGACTTCATAATCAGTCTAAATCAGGCTAATCAGTCTAAAATCCTTGGCAGAGGTGCAGCAGGTTCTGCCGACTTTAACTATAAATACCACCTTCGCCAGCCTCCAGGCTTTTGGCATATAATCCAAAGCAAGACATGCTCACAGCGTCTGCGTAAGTGGTCCGCTGACCTGCCCGAGCCCCTCTTGTAGGAGCGCCGGGAAAATCCCATCCGGTCCAGCGGACATGAATGGCTTAAAGGATTTGACGGCCCATTCCACCTTCTCAAGCTTGACAATGCTAGTCGCCAGTTCCCAGTCGCAACCACGTGCCCTTAACCTGGGCTCCGCAGCCTACCCGTCTGAGTCAACATCAGGTTTCCTTCTGAAGCCCGGAAAATTGGTCTCCAGGAGATGAACCAGACATTCTCCCGAAACCACGTCCCGGAAAGCGTATTGCTTGAGATTTGAGTCCAGGTTTCTTGTCAGTATTCTGCAGAGTCTGGAGGCCTCCGGAACCTCCTCCATGGACTCGCAGAATCTCCTCCAGCTCTCTCTCTCTCTCTTGGTGGCTACTACAAAGTCCCTATAGACCTTCTGGGACTTCCAATAAAGATCCCAGTCAAGTGGCGACCCGCGTTCCTGGCTCTCCGCTGTTCCAGGTACGCCGAGCCCCCTTCCTGAGCTTCTGCAGGTCCGATCCCCACCAAGAGTTGTAATCGATTAATTTTTGCGAAAAATGTTTCATACAAAAGTTTTATGACTTTCAGGGAGATATGAGATGGTACCATTAATTTGACTTTAGATAGTCGTTTGAAGATCACATAAAGATCATCTTTAATTTCTTAAACGAAAATCCCCATTTTTTATTGCATATTTTTATAGCTTACCGATAGCGAATAGGGGACCCAGCCCCAATGACCTTGACCTTGACATATGTTATCAAGGACATAATTCTGAGTAACTTTTTCTTCTAATTTAATCGTCGCTCGTTGCTTATTAAAAAGTTATTAACAAACAAAAATTTTTAAAAATTAAGATTTATACATAGTCTTACAATGAAAAACTAAATATTTAAGTTAGTTTACAGAAATAGTCCTATGTATGCTACACATATAAACTGAAGTAAACACAAGTTTTTACATATATAGGATGTTCAAAAATAAAATTAAGGGTAAATATAGCGAATAGGGGACCCAGCCCCAATGACCTTGACCTTGACATATGTTGTCAAGAACATGACCCTGAACAACATTCGAAAGGTTTTAGCCGTCGCTCGTTTTTTATTAAAAAATTATTAACAAAAAAGGTTAAAAAATATGGCAGTTATTTTGAGTATTGAAAGGCATCCCAACTTCGGGAAATGAAAAAAAAACATTTATATAAGACATAACACAAAGGTTTGAGTTGAATCTCGCTTCGCGTGATGAAAATTGTAAACCCATGTGGAACTTCACTTCGTATTAAAAAGTGTATGCGTGGAGGCAGTATGTTCCGCCCCCCCTGCGGGGGGCTCCACTACCAAAAAACTAGATACATAGATTTGAGTTAAACCTCGCTTTGCATGGAAAATTGTAAACCAATGTGGAACCTCATTTCGCATTAAAAAGCGTATGCGTGGAGGCAGTGTGTTCCACCCCCCTACGGGGGCTCCACTTCCAGAAGATATAACCTAACCCAAACCTATTTCTGATTTAAAACTAGACTTTGCTTCGCGCGAGAAAATAAGGAGGTTAAGGTCATTGATCTTTCCCATCGCTTGGTTAGTAACAAAAAGTTATGAAAGACTAAACGTATTGAAGAAAGTCGTAGATAAGATAAAAAAAATTGTGTAGCAACATGTTCACTGCTAAATTAGAAGAAGAACTGCTATAATACTTGAATATGATAACACATTACTTTTTCAATGTTATTCTAAGTCATAATCCTATTATGGAAAGATTAAAGCATGTAAATATTATTTACGTATTTAAGTGGGGTGGATTTCGCTTCGCATAGAAAGTTGCAAACCCATGTGAAAACGTATAATTATAAACCTTGTTTAAGTAGTCAAAATTTATTTTTACTAACCAAGGAGCTCAATCTCCTTAGAGGTCAAGGTCAACGTCAAAATCAACCGGAAGTCATTTGGGATGGGGTGTGTAAAGGTAAACATTTATCTTCATGGGTCCAAAAAACAATAAATTACAAAATGTTACATCACGTAACTCCAGGTATATTGTATAAATGTTTGACTAACAATTAAATATAAATAAATTATAGTTTATACTAAACACATTTTCAACAACAAAATACTTTATATAAACAGTTAATGTCGACAATGGTACAAAAATTATGTTGATAAATTCAGTGTACCTTAATATTAGATGGTCAAACTT